TGGTATTTTATGACTATCACATACTTTAGAAATTAAATTGCTAATTTTTCTGTGAAAATGTCATTTTAGCAGAAGAAAGTGAACTGGATGTAAAATTGGTCATACCTGGTTAACTAATAGTGTGATGCTCCCTTTGTTTATGTCAAAGGAATTTAGAATCTCATACATTTACCTGAAATGAGGCTCTTGTTTGGGAAAGATACTCTGTGTGCGTTTCATTGATAATAATAAAATCCACAGCTTAGAAGTTATATGGCCTAAGACTCAAAGAACCAGGGCTGCAACTCAGGACTTCTATCTTTGGGTCACAATACTTTTTCTATTGCATCGTGATGCTGCTTGTATTTAGTACAGAGATTAGCTGTCAAACAATGAAAAGTCTTTTGTCATATTTGGATTAAACAGCCATGATGTGGCTTGGAAGGGAACAGCCGACATAAGGTAGTCTCATCTGTGAAAAGAAAGAGGTCATTATTGGCAATTTCTGTGAGGTGGCTTGAAAAGAGGAGGGGAAGAGTGTCACACTCTGCATGGATCCTTGAAGTTTTTCAGGATAACACTCCATTAGCAATGACAAGTTGCCATCTGTTAGTGAACTCTTCCAGAAGAGAGCGAAAGCTACCCAAGAACATTTTGCTACATTCAAACTGGTTCTCCAAATCCAGCCCTTGGTTTTGCTACATCAGCCCACGGACATTCATGGTCACGGGTAAGCTTCCTCAGTGAAGTAGATAACGGTCAAGGAATAAATCATAAGTATTTCTAAATTATTAGCTGGTACTTGAAAAGTTATCAATAATTCTACTCATAAAAATACAGTTAAACATTTTAATAACTTTCCCTGTAACTTTGTTCAGCAATACAGTTTCTTGATTATTCTCTACCAAAGGGAATCTTTGTATGAACTGAAGTAGTATTCTATATTTTCCTAAAGTATCACCTAGAGAAAAGAAGGTGAAATTGACCAGATTATGCATTAAATCTAAAATCACATCTCTTCCAAATTTCATGATAAAGATGGGGGTAAACTTGAACAGTAAGTCATGAATACCTCTCTATTTTATGCATGCTAAATCTGAGAAATGTTAGAGAATAAAATATTTTATGTTAATATATTGACAGTTTTGAAATATATAAATCTTTTAATAAGCAATATATTCATTTGTTTGCATGTGATTTTTATGAAATGCAGCTAAAATGCATAGTATATTTATAGTTTATCTTATTATAGAAGTCATAAAAATTCCAGGGTATTTAAAAATTGTAGGGAATAAAAATAGTTTACTTAAGAATATATTTTATTTAAAAAGATGTACTACCTATACAGCAAGGATAGTGATATTATAAAAAATGTATGTATGATTCTGGATGTGTGGATGATGCTAAGTTTTAATTGAGTCTTGAGCTCCTAGAAAACACTGAAGGCTAAAAAAATCCCTACCCCACCCCGTTTTGTGTTCTGGAAAACATCTCCTAACATGAACCACTTCCCATATGATGTAGAAAGTATAATGGATGTACTCCTTGTTTACCCATGACCAGGACAAACATCGGCCCTCACATTGCCATTTTTTGCTTCATAAGTGATTTGCTGAACTATCTGTCCTCAGTGAATTTAAAGAAAATGCTTGTTGACCGAATTTTGGTTAAAATTCCCTCCTTGTCTCATGTTGCTGAACTTTTGCCCTTTTGCAGTTGATCAGTGTATGATCCCTGTGTGAACAGACCACCCCAAGAATCCCATCACCTCCAAATTAGTCTGTCCATAGTGCAGAAATTCTTCGACTTATTATCTGATCAGTACACCCTCTACTGCAATAGTGCCTCCTCCTCTACCATTGCAATAGTCCCTTCCTTCCTCCTGGTAATAATACTTCAAAGTATCTCCTTATAAAGTCTGAATTTCCTTTTTATTTGACAATAAAATGCAGTGAAGATGAACCACTTGCAGATGACTTTGGATGGCAAAACCGACAATCTTCTCCACTAGTTATTTTTACTAATCTTTATCCCTAGACTAGAACTGTTAACCAGGACCACTTCCAAAATGTAACCAGTCATTTTCATCTTTGCATTATTCCAGTATGTTTCTTTATGAGAAATCCCAGTGTTTATGAGAAATCCCAGTTTTATGTTTCTTTATGAGAAATCCCAGTGTTTCAGCTGTGATCCATTACATTTTTAGCTTTTGACAAACATCTGTAAAGAATAGAAAAAAATGCTGCTTTTTCTAGTTTGAATTGCGGCAGAAGACACACCATGCGTCTTTCTTTCTTTCTTTCTTTTTTTTTTTTTAAAGAATGAGAGAGAGGGAGAGAGAGAGAAAGAATTTCAATATTTATTTTTTAGTTTTTGGCGGACACAACATCTTTGTTGGTATGTGGTGCTGAGGATCGAACCCGGGCCGCACGCATGCCGGGCGAGCGCACTACCACTTGAGCCACATCCCCAGCCCCACCATATATGTTTCTTAATTACACATTTTAAGACTTCATATAACTTCTCTGAATAAAGCAAAACACACACACACACACACACACACACACACAAAGTGCTCATTCAGAGCAATCTGAAAGAACACATGGGGTAAGGTGTTTCTCCTGTAGGCTAAATTGGAAATTGTGTGTAAAGAAATATTTTCTTTTTAAATTAACAGTGAATTGCAGACAAGCCATTCTGAAAGGATAATAAAAAGTTCTGTGTACTGGAACCCAGTGATAGAGCCTGCTATTTAGTTTCTACATTGCATTAATTAATAAATCAAAGGAAGAAGGTGCATAATGATAAACCATTTTTAAATAGGTGGATTTCATCAGAAAACTGCTGCATGGTTCTGCTTTTCAAGCCTTATCTGATTTGTTTGTGCTTGGTGCCACAATTTGTCACGGTCAAATTGAGTTTTAAAACTATTCTCTAAGGTAGCTTTGCTATGTCACAATATTGATATTCTTAGAGAATTTAATGAGAAGGTGCTAAATTTTAATATCAAAATCACTGCTTGAACTAACAGTGGTCAGAACAAGGACCAACCCTCATGGGCTATGATTGCGATGTTTATACTCAGGTTTTAAGCACTTACTAGTACCCAGCACCGTTCCTCTGTGAATTAATTTTGAGTGAAGGGTTCAAACAAAAATGATAGTCCTTCAGAATGAAAGCCTTCAATCCCCTGTGGAATTTTGGGGAGGTTTTCTAAAACAGGGGGAGAAATGGAGATTATATAAGAGCTGTTTCTTATTTTTCTGAATTATAAGGCTCTTTAGATCTGGGAAGAAGGACTCTGTGTACTTTAGACTAATCAACTCAGTTAACTTGCTGTTCAAATGCTGATGCCTGCTAGAAGATGTGTTCACTGATAATCTGCACATTTACTACTTGGTTTAATTTCTCAATTAAGTTCTCTCCAGGGCTCAGGGCTTGATCCCACTCTCCTGCCCAATACACATTCACTTGTATTCCTCTATGGGTTCTCATTCTATAGTGTTTCAGTCTATGGTCCCATCTTTCTAGCTTTGTACTCTTGTTAGTGCCTAATCCTCTGTTAAGCTGTTAAACTGTCTTTTAAATTTTTTATCTTTTGTAACCTATCGTGAAACTCACCCCATTTCTTACTTTTGAGCCCATTTTGCTCCACTGGAATTCAGGTTGGTCCTTTTCATTCTCTCTTTCCTACTATCACACTGTTTTACACAGCATCTTTTGTATTTGCAAGTGTTAAAATTTACTTATCAATAAATATTACGTAATTATTACAGTATTTTTTTCTGAATGCAAGAGTTGGTGGTGTTGAGAAATTCGTGACTATTAAGTAATTGCAAGAGAGAATGAACATCTCTAGGAAAATATAATTTCTATGAATTGTTACACATAAAAAGGATTTCTAATATTAGCAATTTTCTCTTATCAGTAAGAAAAAACAATAATTAATTGTGATCGTAAGTTTTGCTTTAATTGCTCTAATTATTAAAGAAATGTCTTTGAAAACTTTGACTATGTATTGTCCTGTTTCAATTAACCTAAGATGATTAAAATGTCATGGCTTTTATATACTTAATCATAAATTTATAAATATAATTTATTTTAGGAAATATCATCTAGGATCAACAGCATCAAATAGTTGTTTGTGATGTGTGTTCAATTATTATGTTTGGAGACTTTTAGTGTGGTTCAATATTGACTTAGTGGATTCAGTGTTCAAGCATTCACATAGGATTTGGGGATTTTTTTTTAATACTATGCCAACTTTTTATGGTGGCCTTTCATTCTGTTTATTTCAAAATTCTGGTCCCTTTCCATCTGCCTTTGTAATGACTCATATCTTCCCTTTGGCGAGAAAGCATACTGAGCAGCTTCCAACAAAGTGCAACCAAGGTTGTTTCACAACCAGCTCTATGGGAAGGACTGCATGGAGTTTAGTTGTATCCTCCCCTAGAGTCAGCTCTAAGCCATCACTTTACTAATGAGCTCGGTTTTCACCAGCATGCAGAATGCTCTGCTGCTGTTTCATATTGTTGGCTGCTTTGTTAACTTTTAAGTCTCTGTGAATTCTTTTTCTTTTTCTCTGTAAATGCTTTGCTGTCTTCCGTGATGCTGAGGATTTTCCAAAATCAATGAAGAATATAATTCAACAATCCCTTATTTCAAATTTTGTTTTTATGGGTTTTTCTTCTCTTTGTAAGTATGTCAGACTGAAAGATTATTTGTATTTACTGTGACACTCTTACAAGAAAATATACCTGTGAAAGAATATGAGATTTTGCTTTTGCAAATAACAATTTCTCATATTCAGTATATTTTGAAGTCTTTTCAGTCCATTCCCACCAAGCAATATTTTTATTTATGTTTTCAGTATTAATTTCTCCGATTATAGATAAGTTGTCTATTTTTAATGTCTGCCTCCTTCAGACTTTTGTAAAAATTAAACTATAAATTTATATTGATATTCTATCAAGTTTTGGAATCACTGTTGCTCATATTTTTATTCATTTATTTAGAGATGCTCATTTTGTGTGCACTATTGGCAGGATCATTTTCTTGGTCCAATGGAAATAACATAGAACAGAAGAGAACTATCTCCAACCCTACCCCAAAGCTTACATGTTAAAGGGGAATAAGTTGGGGAGACTGGCAATAATAAGCAGGATAAACAATTAAATATAGTTGCCCTTTGTAGCCACAGATTCAACCAGCTGCAAAGTAAAAACATTTGAGAAAAAAATTTCATCTGTGCTGAACATGTACAGACATTTTTTTTCCTTCTGATTTTCTGTGAACACTATAGTATAACAATGATTTGCATAGAATTTGCCTTGTATTACACATTATAAGTATCTAGAGATGACTAAAAGTATACAAGATGATTGTGTAGATTATAAAGAACCACCGTACCATTTTATATAATAGATTTGAGTATCCTCAGAGTTTAGTAGATTCATGAGGTCCTGGAACCAATCATCTGTGGAAACAAAGGGACAGACATAAATATCAGTAAGTCTAAAGTAAAATAGTACTTTTGGCCACTATTTAATTTTGAACAGTGACCAAGGATGACTTTTTTGAGAAAATAGTATTTGATTAAAATTGGGAAGAAAATTAGGAATGAAGTATTCAAGTATCTGAAAGAAGAGCATTTCTAGGAAAGTAAAGAGGAAAGACAAATACCTTGAGACAGAAGCATGCCCAATGTGCTCAGAAACATCCAGGACACCAGTGTGGTTGAAGCAGAGTAGGCCAATGAAGTGGGGCAAAGTATGCTGGATGAGAAGATAATTCAGGGTGTCCTGCCATAGTCCAGGGGAGCAATGGTACCAGCTGGTAGCAGATGAAGAATAAAACAAGCAGAATGGTAAACAACTGAGGTGGTATAGAGAAGGAGTGTTTTAAAGTGGGCAGTAAATTAGAACTTGAGTAGAAGAAAAGAATGAGATTTTTAATGTCTATTCTCAGATCCATTTTCAAATCTCATTTTGCACTGAGCAAACCTTCTGTAGATGATGATATTTTAATGTCTTCTGCAATATGCTGAAATTTCTACCAAAGCAATTTTGAAATTCAAAATCTCCTTATGAAACTATTCATCTCCACCACTCTAATTTTATTCAGTTATATTACATGTCAAAGGTTTTTCAATTTTTCTCTTTGGTAAGTTTATAACCACACAATTAAGTGGATTTAGATGAATAAGTGTCCAAGTATACCACTTTACAGCTTCATATCTGAGACTATTTCTATTAATTGTGTAAACCCACTGAACACTGAATGCTTATAAAATCCTTTTTAAATAGCATATTGATTACTAGGAATAGGATTGATGGATATGATTCTTAAGACTTTAGTCAAATCATAATGTCATCCATAAATAGCATTAAAAACAACCATTCCCTTCTTTACAAAATAATAAATAATATGAGATGAAGGTGCTATAGATTAAGGAACAAAGTTCCTTGTATTTATGTTTGTCTGTAATTTTCAGTCTTCCAGTCATGAAATAACATGTTTTTATAAAATGTTACTTAAATCTTTCACTTGATTCTTGTATTCCTATTGATTTTTTGTTTTGTTTAAAAAAAAAAGTTACATAATTTCACACTGAGATTTTTTTCAAGGAAAAGTAAACTTTTTGCCCAATGCAAAATATATACTACATGAGTTATTTTTATGGTATATAGATAGAAATATGCAAATTTAATAGGAATTTCCTTTTATAACCTCCTAGGGATTAGCTCTGAAATATTACAGAATGGTACTTCCTATGTTCCTAAAAGCTTTTAGTGAAACTTCAAAAACTTCAGTGACTCAATTTCTATATTATATTTTCAAAGACATTTAAAAATTCTTGCAGGGGTTCAGTGGTCCTTTTATCTGACTGCACTTAAGAATTACCTGGAGAACCATTTCAAACACAGATTGTTGTGTACCCTCTCCAAAGTTTGTTTTTCAAAACATTGAGAAGACTTACAAAATTCTGCATTTCCAATAACTTCCCAGTTGTTGTGGCTTGTATGTGTCCTACAAGATGTGTGTGGATTTTAATTGCCATTGGGACTTTATAAAGTTGATTAGGGTGTTATCTTCATGAATGATTCAGGTCATCATCACAGGTATAGGTTAGTTATCCCAGAAATAGGTTCCTGGTTAAAAAAAAAAAATGCCATTGGTCAGTTTTTCTCTTTCCACACACACACACACACTTCCTTACTGTTTGCTGGCCTACACCATATTATGGCACACAAAAAGACCTTCACTGGATGCCAACACCATTTTCTTGAACTTCACAATTTCCAGAACTATAAGAAATAAATCCCTGCTCTTGATTAATTTCCCATTCTCTGCTATTCTATTAAAGCAGTAGAAAACAGTCTAAGACACCAGGTAATCTGATGGTGCTGTTTTGGGGACTATTGAGAACCACCATATTGGATAGACAGCTTGTTACAAATAAATCAATGAGAAAATGAACGAATGAATTCATACTCAGAAGATATAATTGCTAATATCCAAATTGACATGACACATCAATGTTTCTTCCATTGTTCACCGAATCCCAGAATCACCCTGTAAATTCTTTATGTCAGACTAACCATGCCTACCCACAAGGTTTCATTCTTCACTTTTGTCTTTTTATTCTGAAAATGAATTTGT